TAATGTACAAGATCGGTAATTTCCTGTAACTCATTTATGCACCAAGCAAGAGTTTCAAAATTTTCTTTGTATGGATATGATCTCTCATGGGTAGTATCAAACATCATGATACACACAAGCTAGCTTAAGCTGCATGTAACAAACGTGAAACTGAAATAGACCTTTGTAACCTGTTAAAAACCACTACTTCCCGAGGCTAGGTATGACACAAGAGCAATCCCTATCACTCAAAAGAGCAGAAAGTACTAGTACTGTAGTAAGATTAGTTTTGAATAAAGCTTTGAATTTGATGTAATGAGCAGCAAAACCATTCACTATAGAGTGCCTGTAATTGCGGGAATTAGGCTGGGTTATCGTGAAACTTAGGCCACAATGAATCGCCCCAACATCGAGCACTAGTGAACTGTGATACAAATTAACATTATATAGGTGAATGCCCTGCTATCATTTATGCCATTTGATCTAATCAGATACTTTGAGCCCTGCAACTATATTAATTTAAAGATATTAGAAGGTATTCTCCTAGTGAACCCGAAGCAAGTATAACCAGCCAACCTCTGATATGGGGATACAATGTAAACTAATGGTACAGTAGAACTAAACCTATGCTCTGTAATCCTTCATGCAGCCCAGCGGCACACTGCTGGCTACCTTAGCTTGTTATTTGTAACAAAAACCTCTCGTGCTCTGACATCAAATACGGCGTCATTACACAGTCTTGCACCATACTGACTGCCTTCCCAATAACGAGCCTTTGAGGGCAGGGAAGTGTTACTGTGAGGGGAGGGCAGGGAATTGTTACTGTGAGGGGAGGGCAGGGAAGTGTTACTGTGAGGGGAAGGCAGGGAAGTGTTACTGTGAGAAGAGGGCAGGGAAGTTACTGTAAGGGGAGGGCAGGGAAGTGTTACTGTGAGGGGAGGACAGGGAAGTGTTACTGTGAGGGGAGGGCAGGGAAGTGTTACTGTGAGGGGAGGGCAGGGAAGTGTTACTGTGAGGGGAGGGCAGGGAAGTGTTACTGTGAGGGGAGGGCAGGGAAGTGTTACTGTGAGGGGAGGGCAGGGAAGTGTTACTGTGAGGGGAGGGCAGGGAAGTGTTACTGTGAGGGGAGAGCAGGGAAGTGTTACTGTGAGGGGAGGGCAGGGTAGTGTTACTGTGAGAAGAGGGCAGGGAAGTGTTACTGTGAGAAGAGGGCAGGGAAGTGTTACTGTGAGGGGAGGGCAGGGAAGTGTTACTGTGAGAAGAGGACAGGGATACTATCTAATAAACTCCATGTAACCTACCTTACCCATTGTAGGTAGTCAACCCATGTCAACCCATTCTTTCTATTGTCAAACAATACTGTTGACCAAGTTGTATAATTGCTGATTTCTGCCACGTTCCCCCCCCTTTTTTTTTTGCTTTTTTCAACACAATTTATACTTTAATCTCAATTAGTATTAAGCTTTAGTCTAAGTGTTTTTTTCCCCACACCTTGCCCGAAACGCTGTGCGTAATAGTGGCTTTAGATATTATATGTACTAGCTCTATCTATAAATCCAACATTATGTTTGTAACTTATCTTCTGTGTACAGAGGTATGTACTTTTACCTGAATAAACATTTTGATTTTGATTTTTGATGTTGAGTTTTACAAAGTAAGAATAGAGCTGGTAGAAAATAATTTTTCAAATATTTTTGAAAGTATAGGTAGATTTGATATTGGTATGTAATTATTTATATTAGCTATCTCACCTCCTTTACGAACTGGCATCACTCTGGCTTTTTTAAGGATATCAAGAAAAGTATGACACTAGAGATTTGTTGAACAGTAGAGCTATGGGTAGCTCTGTTGAACAGCAAGAGCATGGGCAGCACTCTAATATATCATCGATGGTAACTGTGTGACTCATCATAGATGTAAAGTGCCTTGTATAGTGACTGTTGTGAGCTTCTTGTAATGTCACTTGTGACACCTCTTTGTGACACAGATTATTGATGTGTGTATTTGTGTGGGTGATTAGATATGTATGTGTATGTATTTATATATACGTATGTATATATATATATATATATATATATATATATATATATATATATATATATATATATATACGTATGTATATATATATATATATATATATATATATATATATATATATATATATATATATATATATATATATATATATATATATATATATATATATATATATATATGTCGTACCTAATAGCCAGAACGCACTTCTCAGCTTACTATTCAAGGCCCGATTTGCCTAATAAGCCAAGTTTTCATGAATTAATGTTTTTTCGTCTACCTAACCTACCTAACCTAACCTAACCTAGCTTTTTTTGGCTACCTAACCTAACCTTACCTATAAATATAGGTTAGGTTAGGTTAGGTAGGGTTGGTTACGTTCGGTCATATATCTACGTTAATTTTAACTCCAATAAAAAAAATTGACCTCATACATAGAGAAAAGGGTTGCTTTATCATTTCATAAGAAAAAAATTATAGTAAATATATTAAATCAGGAAAACTTGACTTATTAGGCAAATCGGGCCTTGAATAGTAGGCTGAGAAGTGAGTTCTGGCTACTAGGTACGACATATATATATATATATATATATATATATATATATATATATATATATATATATATATATATATATATATATATATATATATATATATATATATATATATATATATATATATATATATATGGGTGGTAGGAGAAAAGCACACAGAAACTGTATTGGAGGGGATCTAAACATTCCCTCTAATGCGTTATGCGTGGTTTCCTCCGAGGCTATGGGTCCCCCTTCTTCCAGCTAGAGGTGGTACTCCTATATATATATATATATATATATATATATATATATATATATATATATATATATATATATATATATATATATATATATATATATATATATATATATATATATATATATATATATATATATATATATATATATATATATATATGTCGTACCTAGTAGCCAGAACTCACTTCTCAGCCTACTATGCAAGGCCCGATTTGCCTAATAAGCCAAGTTTTCATGAATTAATTGTTTTTCGACTACCTAACCTACCTAACCTAACCTAACCTAACTTTTTCGGCTACCTAACCTAACCTAACCTATAAAGATAGGTTAGGTTAGGTTAGGTAGGGTTGGTTAGGTTCGGTCATATATCTACGTTAATTTTAACTCCAATAAAAAAAAATTGACCTCATACATAATGAAATGGGTAGCTTTATCATTTCAAAGGAAAAAAATTAGAAAAAATATATTAATTCAGGAAAACTTGACTTATTAGGCAAATCGGGCCTTGAATAGTAGGCCAAAAAGTGAGTTCTGGCTCCTAGGTACGACATATATATATATATATATATATATATATATATATATATATATATATATGTCGTACCTAATAGCCAGAACGCACTTCTCAGCCTACTATTCAAGGCCCAATTTGCCTAATAAGCCAAGTTTTCATGAATTAATGTTTTTTCGTCTACCTAACCTACCTAACCTAACCTAACCTAGCTTTTTTTGGCTACCTAACCTAACCTTACCTATAAATATAGGTTAGGTTAGGTTAGGTAGGGTTGGTTAGGTTCGGTCATATATCTACGTTAATTTTAACTCCAATAAAAAAAATTGACCTCATACATAGAGAAAAGGGGTTGCTTTATCATTTCATAAGAAAAAAATTATAGTAAATATATTAATTCAGGAAAACTTGGCTTATTAGGCAAATCGGGCCTTGAATAGTAGGCTGAGAAGTGAGTTCTGGCTACTAGGTACGACATATATATATATATATATATATATATATATGTATGTATGTATGAAAGTGTGTACATGTGTATACAACATTAATAATTTTGTAACTAGCGTCATTGTTATTTGCTTAGCTGAGCGAACTAGAGGGTTCAGTTCCTGAACCGATTATGTGCCTCTGTAATCCTTTACACCACCGCCCACGGGATGGATATGGGGTGCATAATAAAGAAAGAAATTGGGCTGACTGGTTAAAGGAGTAGAGAGTTAGGATACCTGCCGGTGAGATATGTAGTAACATGTTTCTGGGTCTCTGGGATTTTTCTGGCAAGGTTACCACCAATTGATGAAAAGAAGCTATTGAATTTGGTCCTAAGAATAATTCTTAATATTTTAAGTCCTTTATCAAGTAAACACATTATTTCACTAGGTTTAAAGGCAGTTCATCACTTTTCATAATTATAATGGTGTTTATCTTTGTATTTCAGGACCGGAGAGTGAGGATGAAGGTATTTGTGGGGAGTGTTGTGCATGCCACCAAGGAGGAGCCTATGGTCATTCTCCCACACACGGCTCTCGGCGTCCGTGACAGTAAGGTAAAGCAGTCTTGACATGCTCCTAGCCCAGTGTTACACTTGTCTTAGTCAGTAATTAGAAGTACCGTAGATGAACACGTCAAGATATTGATGAGAGTTCACTATGACGTTGGTTGACTGTCAATGTTAGACTGGTTGGTAGAGCGATGTCCTTGGTTATTGCTGGGTCGGTCCTCGATCCCTGAGTGTTGAAGTGGCTGCATGCCGTTTCTCCCACTACAGCCTCGTATCCCACCTCCTTGTATTGAGAAGTGGGCGCTATGATGGGTAAACCAGAAGCGGGTGATCAGGAGACCTGTAAGCATCAATACCTCCTCCTTCTTCACGATACGTGCAATTTGCATGAAGGTTTTCCTCCTGACGACTGCAGGAGTGGTGATTTTTTTTTTTTTTTTTTTGAGATATATACAAGAGTTGTTACATTCTTGTACAGCCACTAGTACGCGTAGCGTTTCGGGCAAGTCCTTAATCCTATGGTCCCTGGAATACGATCCCCTGCCGCGAAGAATCGTTTTTTCATCCAAGTACACATTTTACTGTTGCGTTAAACAGAGGCTACAGTTAAGGAATTGCGCCCAGTAAATCCTCCCCAGCCAGGATACGAACCCATGACATAGCGCTCGCGGAACGCCAGGCGAGTGTCTTACCACTACACCACGGAGACTGTCGAAATGTTGTGATGTTGAAAGATGTGACACTCACAGTGATACATCAATTTTCATAATTTGGCAGATTGAAAGTTATCAATGCTTCTGATGAGGATGATGATGATGACGAGGATGATGAGAAAAATTAACATATGAGTGGAAATGGACTCAGGATGGCAAAGATGAGGAGTTGTGCTAATGGTGGTATAAAAGTTTACCCACTCGGTATGTAAGATAAGATAAGATATCTATTCAGGTAAAACATTGAAAATGAGTTACAAACATGATGTTATTAATAGATATTAAGTTAGATATTAAGTCACTGTACATCCTCTCAATTGTACTCTATATATATAAAACTCTGAACTGTAATGCCAATCCTAGCCTTAAAAGCTTCCTAGAATTTATTTATTTATTTATTTATTTATTTATATATATACAAGAAGGTACATTGGGATTGAGGATACATAGCATAGTAATTACAATCTTGTAAAGCCACTAGTACGCGCAGCGTTTCAGGCAGGTCCTTAATCTAAGAAAATTTTAAGTAGGTAAATACTTGCAAAATTTATAAAAAATGATAACAGTTACAAAGCAAGAAAAAAATAAAAGAAGAGAGAAAATTGTAGGTATATTAAAGCACATAGGTAGCTCAGATTGATTGAAATGACAGCTTGAATGGTAGTTTAACAAAAATTAGTAGGCACAATACAGCATATGGCTAGCACATAAAAGACAGCAATGAACACAATGATAAAGTTGTTTGGGTTAAGTACATAAAGATTTGGGAGATTGGGTAACACTAGATACAGAGCAAATTTAAAGCTCAGTGTAGGCTTATAACTACGAAACTCAGTTTAAAGCTCATAACTACGAAGATGAAATTAGAATGCTGTAACAGAACCCATGGGCACCAAACTAGAAACAAATACCTATTTGTTTCTACCTTACCCTATACCCTTACCCTATAACCTACCTTACCCCTATAATGTCAACCCATGTCTGCTTTTTTTTTAAACAATGCTGTTTGTCAACCAAATTGTATTTTTTGCTGTTTTTCTGCCATGTTCCCCTCCTTTTTTATTTTTATATTTTCTCAACACATTTTATACTCAATTAGTATTTATGTTTATCTCAATTAGTATTTATATTTATCTCAATTAGTATTATGTTTTAGTCTTTAGTGTTTTTCCTGCCCGAATCGCTTTGCATAATAGTGGCTTTAGGCATTGTATGTACTAGCTCTATCTATAAACTCATCAATATCTATATCACACCTTGTATGTATGTACTTTACCTGAATAAACATTTGAATTTGAATTTGATTTTCCAAGAGTGCAACTTAACCAAGCTAGAAATGTTCTGCAAATTAAGGGACCCCAGAATGTAGAATGACCTCCCCAATCATGTCAAAGGCTGTACCTCTCTCAACCCGTTCAAAAGAAAAATTAAGTACTGTACAGTACTACCTAATAAACTCCATGTAACCTACCTTACCTCCTAAATGTCAACCTATGTCTTGTTATTTTCAAACATTATTGATTATTGACCAATTTGTTTAACTGCTGATATCTGCCATGTATAAACTTAAAAGAAAATTGTAATCTTTTTATTTAGTTAAAATTCCTTCTGCTGTTCTGTTGCATTTTCTGCTGTTCTATCCATCATGTAATTATTATAATTCTCTTTCTTTTTTCAACTCAATTTATGGTTTTGATCTCAATTAGTACTGTATTAAGTTTCAGTCCAAGTTTTTTTTCCCCCCACATCTTGCCCGACATGCTGTGTGTATGTGGCTTCAGGCATTGTATGTACAGCGCTTAGTAAAAGCGTTTTCATGCCAGGGCTTGGAAGAAGCCGTCCATGCTGCAACTGTCACTTATCGACATGTTCGTCTTTGACATGAGCACATCCACCACTGTGTAATATCCTGGGGAAACCTTGCCTATCCACCTAGTTTGGAATATTTCATCTGCAATTGTAATTTTTTTAACAAAAGTAATGTTAATTGTTGTTTATGACCTCATTTAGTCAGTAACCGGGTTCTTTATTTCTAACACTGTATATGGGACCTTAGTGCCTGCCTCTTCTCTAACAAATACCTTTTTGATATTCCAAGAGTACGACTTAATCAAACTAGAAATGCTCTACAAATCAAGGGACCCAGAATGTGGAATGACCTTCCCAACCATGTTAAAGACTGTACCTCTCTCAACCAGTTTCAGATAAAAACTAAGCATTACCTAATTAACTCCCTGTAACCTACCTTACCCTTATAATGTCAACCCATGTCTGCTATTTTTAAACAACGCTGTTTGTTGACCAAATTGTATTTTTGCTGTTTTTCTGCCATGTTCCCCTATTTTATTTTTATATTTTCTCAACACATTTTATACTTTAATCTCAATTAGTATTAAGTTTTAGTCTTTAGTGTTTTTACTGCCCGAAACGCTTTGCGTAATAGTGGCTTTAGGCATTGTATGTACTAGCTCTATCTATAAATTGATCAATATTTGTATCACACCTTGTATGTATGTACTTTACCTGAATAAACATTTGAATTTGAATTTTTTGAATTAAATGTTACTCTAAATTATATAATATACTTAAGGTTGTTTTGTTAACAGATACAGTTCGTGGAATCATCTAATAATCTAGAGCAGCTCAAGGTTGACTATGGCTTCACGGATGCATGCATCACCTACCTTAACTCCAGGCGAGTATTGACTGCTAACCTGTCGTCATGGAGATGCTGGTTGACCACAGGTACTCCCGCTTCCAGAGATCCCACGAGTTCTGATGCAGCAAGTCCAACCACTATCTCCTTTTAGTCCTCCATAAGTGTCTTAAACACTCGAGGAGCAGTCTCGGTTGTACAGTCGTAAACCCGATTCTACTACCGGGACCCCAGTTATATGTAATTTGCTCACCACAAGTGTAATTTGTTCGGCTTAGAGATTGCTGTGGTCCCGTTCTGGAGCCCATTATGTTCAGCCCATCCTCCTGTTTTGGTAATACAGGGTACTTACAGTAATGATTAGAACCATAGTTCTGTACTGTATATATACTGTACCGATGTACAATTAGAAAGTAGAAATCGGTATTATTGCATTTGAACAAACTGGAAAATATTTTCTATTAATCTATAAAAATTGTTGTCGAGAGGAACCTCTAAATTATAGACCCTTATCATTAACAAGGGTGGTAGTCAAAACACTAGAATAAATAGTTAAAACCAAATGGGTTGAACACCTAGAGAGTAATGACATAATAACGGACAGACAAGATTGTTTTTTGAACAGGAAGATCCTGCGTAACAAATCTTCTTAGTTTTTATGATAGAGCCACAGAGATACTACAGGTTAGAGGTGATGCTAATAATGGCATCAGTAGTACGGTTTTGGGAATGAAAGCCAAACTGGCAGGGACTTAATATGTTGAATTTTACAAGGTAGAGTAGAGCTGCTTGTAAACAGCAGTCAGTCACCCTCATTACTGAATATAAGTTACTCTTCACTAGACCCTGGCAGCTCAGGATTAAAGATAACATGTTTTCAGCCAGTTTTTGATGCCAGGGTTGGTGGACACCCACATCCATGCACCTCAATTTGTTAACAATGGGGTGAAGCTGGACCTACCACTTCTGGACTGGCTCAAGATGTACACCTTCCCCACGGAAGCCATGTTCTCTGATGTCAAGGTCGCTCATGACTTTTATCCCAGAGTTGTGGTTAGTCTCATTTATGTTTGGCCGTAATTGATATACGTGTGTTATTTTATCTTTTGGTTTCGCTAATATATTGAGAGGATTATTATGGGGGTGTGCAGGAGCGGCTGCTAAGGAACGGGACCACCACCGCCTCGTACTATGCTACCCTGCACCTCGAGGCCTCCAAGGTCCTGGCTCAGGTGGTGAAGGCCAGGGGTCAGCGGGCCCTCATTGGTAAAGTCAACATGACGGTCAACGCTCCCGAGTACTACTGCGAGTCCAGTCTTCAGCAATCGCTTTCTGATACCGAGGATTTTATTTGCTACATTAAACAAATGCAGGCAAGATGTTTTCTACATCCCAGAATTGTTTAATATGTTAGATATTAAGTAACTGAAGCATGAAGTTTCCTGGCAGCCTTTCCACCATTTCCTTTCCCTTAGGGGGATGTTGTCTGTGTCTGTTAAGGTTGTTTCGTCCTGTCTTTCTTGACTTTTTCTGGACCAGCATCTCATGCCGAATACTGGCGCTTCTTATTGTGCGGCGTTGGCAGAACCGCTGCTGCTTGCATTCGGGGTGGATGTCACTTCTGCTGTGTTCTGTAAGCTCTTCCATATGTTTTTTCACCTCCGGCCTGCTCATGCACTGCTTGAGCTGTCTTGGTCTTTGGACCAGGTGCTCTCTTTTCTTTTCTCCCTTTGGCTTGTGGTGGCCCCTTCAGTTCGGGATTGTTTTATGGCAGCCTTGTTTTTGTTGACTTTGACCTCTTGGGAGTTGGGTTGTGGAGCTTCATGCTCTTCTCCGGTGCTGGGGTTCTGCTCCTTTGGTCATGGTGGTCGTTTTGTTAGTTTGCAGCCTTCTGCTTTTCTGGCGAGGAATGAGATAGCTGGCTTAGAGAGGGGTCGGTGAATTGTTGATGCTTGGTTGGTTGGTTCGGCCGAGGGTGCATCATGTTTTGTGTCCAGTTGTGGCTTTACGTCGCTATCTGTGGGCCACTGGTTCAGTTACAGTGGATGCACTCTGGGTTGATTTGGTTTTCCTGGTTCCCTGTTCCAGGACTTGTGTTTCTCAGGTTGTCCGCTGGGTTATCAAGTCTAGCCAGCCTGCGGTCTACCCTTGTGTCCTTGATGTGCGGAAATATGTTGCTCTCGCTTCTGTATTTGGGAATGTCTTGGGTTGACATTCGGGCATGGGGGTTTTGGAAATCGAACAGGGTCATGGCCACCAAATATCTTGTCAGGGTTCCAGGCCCTCTACGTCCTTGTGTTGCTTTGAGATGTCTGTCACGGCCTGTTGTTTCCTCTTAGTCGTGTGACCTGTGGTGCTGCCACCTCCCGGGTAAGTCCCTGTTTTTACTTCTCTGTGGGTAGTTAGCCTCAGAGAGCCAACGGGGCTCCCCCACAGAAAACCAGCGTTGAATGTAATGCAACGCCATTTTCTGGGTGAGCCATGGAGGCTCCCTGACACCCTCCCTCCCTCTGGTCGGTGGTTTTCATCATTTTACGAACTGGAGTGGTGAGCTGCCGGCTGACCTGAGTGGGGGCTCCCCCTAACCCCCTTTTTGGGGAGGGGTGGGGGGTGCTAATGAGTGGGCTTGCTAGTTGGATTACGATTTGCTTGTTTGTTTTCTTTTGGGAGGAGTTCTTTAACACTTTCGCGCTATCTGGACGCGCCGGCGCGTTCGGTTTCGTCTAACGTAAACGCATAGTGGACATAAAGTTATATCTACTTTTAAAATATTTGTATAAAATTCAATTTTAATCCGATTTCATTGGGGTTTGTTTCAAACGACGCGCCATGAAGTTCTCTTTCTCACCACTAGGCCGCCTGGCGCGTTGGCCTACCCGGTCACGTGACGGGCCCATTGTTTTCGTGTCACGTGTCGTGAGTCGATCACGCTCCCCTCGCGCGCCAAACTCGAGCATTTTTACCCGTTTCCGTGTGGATTATACCCAATTACTTCATCAAAAATGGATCAAGGTCAAGGCCCAAGCACTTCTACAAGCACTCAAGAAACATTGAGAGAACTTGGGGTGTACACATGTGGCACAATTAGAATGCTACGCGGCGCCCCAAAGGTATTGCAAGCTCTAGCCAAGGGTAAACTTCCACTGGATACCACAGTATACCGCCGCAAAGATAATACCTTCATTCTCCTTTGGAAAGACAAGCGAGTGGTTTCAATCATTACCAACATCCACAATGCAGACACTCAGCGAGTTCAGCGAAGGAAGCGAATTCGCAACCGAGACGGAACAAGTGGAATACAACAGGTAACAGTGAACAAACCGACTGCAATTTGCGAGTACAATAAGTTCATGAAAGGTGTGGACCACTTCGATCAAATGGTTAAATATTACCATTTTACCAGGAAAACTCACAAGTGGACCAAAAAGATTATCTTTTATTTCCTGCAAATGGCATTGCATAATGCCAATGTTTTGTACAAATACAACACAACTGATCGAAAAAAGCTAACATTGCTACAGTTCCACGAAGTGGCAATCTGGGCCCTATTGCACTGGGACACAGAGGAGTGGCCTAAAACATCATCATCATCTCAACACTTGCGGCACGCTCCAGACATAAATGATGACACAGCTCCTGCCAATGCTGACGCCATGCCAACTCCCGGACCATCTGGTGTGAGGCGGCCTTTGTTCACTACACCACCTCAAGATGAAGCAGACAACGAATCTGAACCCGACATGTCTGCCACACTGCCAGTTGACGAAACTGTTTTGTCAGATGAATCTGACTCTCCTGCAACTCCTGTTACACCTCCGGCGAGAGGACCTGGCCGCCCTATTGTTGATTCAGAAAATCGCATGAACTACAAACTGAAACATGAAATTTACAGACTGCCCAAACGTCTCAAGTGTCATGCATGCGCACGGTCCGGTAAAAGGAAGGACACGAACTATGGATGCAAGACCTGTGGTGTTGCACTCTGTGTTGTTCCCTGCTACACCAATTACCACCGGAAACAGGTGTATTGGGTGGTGAAGAAGTAACCACCCGCAACAGCTTCACTCCACCTACAAACCATCTGTTGAGCAACTTCAGGAATGAAGAACCTGAAGAAGGTGGAGAGAACAACAAATGCTCAACTTACTGTTCCACAATCAGCCTTCCCTTGGTAAGTACACCTATTTGGTCCAAGTTTGTGTAGTATAATTTAGCTCATAGAACATTCTATTGCGAAAACATTGCCATAAAAATGAATGACATACATACAATAATAATATCAGAACAGTGAAATAAGTATAAACTTTCAAAGCAACGTTTCGCGCTTGTGTCGTCCGGTCACCGTTACCAGGTAACAGTGCGCCCACTTCCCACACTCTTGCGGGTGGGCCGGGACCATTATTCTACGATTATATTCATATCATCGTGTTGGGAATTTTATTGGGAGTCCATTGATACCAAAATTAAGGCTGTAGGACAATTGTAGAGGTGATAATAATCCCAAGAGTAAAAACATTTTGTTGCTGTTGAGCGCTCACGGCGACTCATCTTCGTAGTTATTTATTTCATGCTGGTATCTCTATAGCTTTTGTGACTTTTTTACTGATGTTCTTCTAGAGAATTTTATTGCGAACACGTTGGTACCAAAATGAAATACGTAGCATGAAAACTAAGGTCAGAAAAGTAAAAAGAGTATACACATTTTTGTTTTTACGCTTAAGCGATAAAAACGCCGCGTGCACATACGGTTGGCTGAGTGACCTTCACCGAGAGCGCGAAAGTGTTAACTGTGTTCGGACATAGGTTGCAATTTTCACCGGTAGAGGGTGAAACCAGTTCACCAATCTTTCTGGATGCTTTCCCTGTCGATGGGAGACATGACATACTCTAACTGTAGAGTGCTCATATGGCCATTGCTCCCTGCGCCTCTCTGAGGGGGCATGTTCTGGCTCGTGGTCACTGGTTACCTACCTTGAGGTTACCTTGAGGTGCTTCCGGGGCTTAGCGTCCCCGCGGCCCGGTCGTCGACCAGGCCTCCTGGTTGCCAGACTGATCAACCAGGCTGTTGGACGCGGCTGCTCGCAGCCTGACGTACGAGTCACAGCCTGGTTGATCAGGTATCATTTGGAGGTGCTTATCCAGTTCTCTCTTGAACACTGTGAGGGGTCCGCCAGTTATGCCCCTTATGTGTAGAGGAAGCGTGTTGAACAGTCTCGGACCTCTGATGTTGCTAGAGTTCTCTCTCAGAGTACCAGTTGCACCTCTGTTTTTCAACGGGGGGTATTCTGCACATCCTGCCATGTCTTCGTATCTCATGTGATGAGACCAGAAGGGAAGAATTCCCATAACTAATAACCTCGCACTAATATAGCTCATATCCGTCTGGATAACTGCAGGGAGCCTCCGGGACTGGTGTTTAATTACATTCAAACACCCAGAACTGGTGTTTAATTACATTCAACGCTGTTTTTTTATATCTTTAATCTTTTTTTATTCATATACCGTATACAAAAGTTTTTACATTTTTGTAATTTTGTTTTTCTATTTGAATGTAATTTTAGATTCTTCTGATTTCAGACACCATTGATTCAGCCCATCATAACCCCAAGATTTGCTATTACCTGCCCCTTAGATCACTTGAAGGAACTGGGTAAACTGGCTAGCAAATATAACTGTCACATACAGAGTCATCTGTGTGAGTCACACCCGGAAATTGCTTTTGTTCGAGAGCTCTTTCCTGAGTCAAAGTCTTACACTGATGTTTATGACACCTCAGGACTTCTTGGTGCAAAGGTGAGCTTCTTTGTGTCAATCTTACATTATCTTGTTAAATCTTCCTTACGGGTTCACTGTTATTTTTTTATTTTTCTTGGTCACTTAGGTTTACTCACAGCATACAAAATTACTATTTTTTCCCCAACTTGAAACTTAAAACATTTGTGTGTGTTTATAAGGCAAACACACCCTCAGGTGTGTTTAACGTGTAAACACACACAAATGTTTATCAAGTTTAGCCCCCCCCCCCGGGAAAAGGCTAAGAGAAACCCAGGCAAGGTACTGCTAAGCGGTTATCCTAGAGCTACCAAGCAAACACTAAAACCTGAACCCCTGCGATGTGTTCAATCACAGGGACTTAGCGGATGGCCACCAAACTCATACAAGTGGTCCTTCAGCCACACCAGGCAGACCCCTGCCAGGCAAAAAAAAAAAAAAAAAAAAAAAAAAACTGCGAAAGCATAACGTCCCCAGGGGAACAGAACCGGCTGCTATGCATATATCAGACAGCTGCACAGTACCTTGTGATCTAGCCAGCAATGACACTACCTCCTACCCAAGGTCAAACAGGAATAAGAACAACCCCAGCTGATCCTAAGGGCGGGCAATCACTGAGTAGCAAAAGAACCACATGGAAGTAGTCTCCCGAATGACTCGTGGAAGATAACCCTAAACCGCAAGGGCAATACTTACAGGGCATCTAGGGAAGGTGGCCCTAGGCACATGCAGCCCTAGTACTCTTGTTACTCCTGGCTCGCACACTACTACACAGAAGAACATCGCCGCTATGAACAGCACTGCTCAAAAGGATAGAGCCAGAGTCAATCGATTGCCAGCAAAAATGTACAAAACAGACATTTATGAATAAAGTTATTGATTGATTGTATAATGTTGTAACTTTTGTCTGTGATGTACAATGTTGATGTCATTCTAGTCTGTATTTTACAATGTTGCTGCTTCTATAGCTTGTGTTGTATAAAGTGAACATTTTATTTATTAAAGGAGGTTTGTTTTATTTTCTTATAATGTAAAAGTTGATGCAAACTATTATTCTGTAACAACACCTACAATATCATATCATTTGTCAGTAAGGCTTTAGAACTGTTTCAGATCTGTAACAATGTATGACTTTCTCCCAGACCATCATGGCACACTGTATCTGGATGGAAGAACATGAAATGGACCGGCTGAAAGAATGTGATGTTGGAGTCTCTCACTGCCCCAATTCTAATACATCCTTACTCTCCGGGCACTGTAATGTCAGACAGCTTCTTCACCGAGGAATTAAGGTTGGACTTGGGACAGGTACGTCTGTTGACAAACAGTCCAACTGCTTGAATGTGTCGGTCCACACCGATCTTGCTTCATACAGGTCACTGTATAATAATAATAATAATAATAATTAATAATAATAATAATAATAATACAGTAATAATAATTTATTCACAAGAAGGTACAATGGGTTGGTGTGATTACTTAAGATTGGTATTTGTAAAATCTTGCAAAGCCACTAACACGCATAGCATTTCGGGCAGGTCCTTAATCTAACATCAAGTAAGATGAAAAGGTACGTTGTAGCAAGGTTTTATATTGACAAATAACTACAGTACAATATAAATTGACAGAGGTGATTACACTGGTAAAGATATGTCTTAAGTACTGTACTAATATTGGGGAAGTGGGTAGTACAAGATACAGTGTGAGTGGAGCACAAGGTAGAAAACTATGAGGATGAAATTAGGTACTTTTCTGGGGGGAAAGCCTCTAAAGCTCCCCAAAGCTATCCAGCCTGATATGATTAAAAATTCATGATTCAAACAATCTTCTTATATCCTATGTATGTTTGTATTTATGTATGTATGTATGTATGTACTTTTACTTGAATAAAATAATAATAATATAATATTTTAACCAAATAATTGTTATTTGTGTGTTGATTAACAATGCAAGAGACTTCCATAAAATGACACTTCAGAAATACTCTTCTTTTAAACATTCCCTTATATAATGACAGACAAGTGCATCAATTTAAAAATTGTGACGTAATATGCTTTTAATTATGAACAGATTGTTCTGGTGGATATAGCTCATCTGTGTTGGATGCCCTTCGACGGGCACTGGATGTGTCCAAGAGCTTGGCTATACAAAAACCTGACTACCGCTTCCTCACCCTACCAGAGGTCTTCCGTTTAGCAACACTAGGAGGTGCTCAAGGTATGTGTCTAGTCTAGCTTCTTCACCCCTTCCACCATGAGTCTATGACCTCTTGTTCTTGAAGCTCTAGGTTTCGAGAGTTCTTCCTTGTCAATTTTCTAGATTTCTGTTATTATTTTGTATGTAGTGATCATATCGCCTGTGTTCACTTAGCAGTAAATAGGTACGTGGGAGTTAAGCCATTGATGTGGGTTGTATCTTAGGATGGTCAATAGTTGACCTAGTAGAACTTGGATAAGTCAAATAGGCTTCCTGTCCCCAACAAGAGTATACAACAGCAGGGCGAGAGGAAACCCATGTCTAAACAAAATTTTTCCGTATTAATGTATCGTTTCTAATGTATTTTTATATACTACAAATGTAGCATTATTTCCCCGCACTCATGATGTTAATAACGGGATATTTCCTTTACAGTAGTAAACATGGACGATTACATTGGTAACTTTGAAGTTGGGAAAGAGTTTGATTCCCTTGTGATTGACCTGGAATTTCCCAGATCACCTTTGGACATCTTTCCCAAGGTAACAATTTTAGTTTTATATAGCAATATGTTTTGCATTTGAATTAGAATTATTTATCTAACTTTTCCATGATATCGTCTCAATAACTCCTTACAGTAGAGCTTGTTACATGGTATCACACAGCTCAGTAGCTCCCTGGAGCTTATAGTGTGGTATCATAGAGCCACCCACCCTTAAACAATGAGACTAGCCAAGTTATATACCTGAGTTTACCTGAGAGCCAGTAACATAAATAAATAAATAAATAAATATGTTTATTCAGGTAAGGTACATACATACAAGTAATGTTACATTAATGGATCAATATATAGATAGAGCTAGTACATACAATGCCTAAAGCCACTATTACGCAATGCGTTTCGGGCAGGAAAACATTAATATCTAGAACTTAATACTAATTGAGCATAAAGAATAAAATGTGTTGAGAACAAATACAAATAAAGATAAAAAAAAAGGGGGAACATGACTGAAAAAGCAGCACAAATACAATGGGTTGACAAACAGTGTTGATTAAAAAAAAAAAAAAATAAGACATGGGTTGACAATAGAGGGGTAAGGTAGGTTACAGGGAATTTATTAGGTAGTGTTTAGTCTTTATCTTAAACTGGTTGAGAGAGGTACAGTGGTACCTCGGAATGCGATTGTCCCTGTATGCGAGGTTTTCGGAAGGCGAGGTGTATTTACTCCAAAAATTTGTCTCAGAAGGCGAGGGTTACTTCGGGAGGCGAGTTTGGACACGAGTTTGTTGATACGCGTACAGCCGACCTAGCGCGTTCGTCGCCCCTCCGCCCCGCCGCCCCTCAGTTTATTATTGTCTCGCGCTCAGTGACTACCCCCACATCAATTCTTCTCGCGGATTTTCAGTGTTTTGTTGGATTTTGGTGATTTGTCTATACAATTTGTTATTATATATCTCACCATGGGTCCCAAGAAAGCCAGTGGTAAGGATAAAGGCCAGAAAGCTCATGTGAGGATGACAATAGAGGAGAAACAAGAGATCATTCGGAAGCATGAGAACGGTACACGTGTTGTTGAACTTTGTAGGCAGTACAACAAAGCCACATCAACAATATGCACTATACTTAAGAAGAAAAATAAGATTATGGGTGCTAAAGTGGCAAAAGGAGTAAGAACATTAACGGCACAAAGACCACAAATACTTGAAGAAGTGGAAAAGTTGTTATTAATTTGGATACACGACAAGGAGTTGAGGGGTGATAGTGTTTCGGAGGCCATTATTTGTGAGAAAGCCAGGGTGTTGCACGAAGACCTTCTAAAGAATACCCCTGCAACGAGTGATGCAGATAAGAAAGAGTTTAAGGCAAGCAGGAGCTGGTTTGAAAAATTTAGAAAGAGAAGTGGTATCCATAGTGTTACAAGGCATGGGGTTATGTGATGTGATTATGGAAGGGGACTCCCCTTCCAAACAGTAACTCCTCTCCTCCTCCCCCCTCCTCACCATCTTCCATACGCCTACAGCACTCGACAGCAAGGTAAGTAATAACTGGAACACAGTTTTGTAGGTTTATTTAGATGAATTAGGTAAATTAGGTATAAAAATTTAGTTTGATGTGGGGTTTTTGGGGTAGTCAGGAACGGATTAATTCATTTCCCTTTATTTCTTATGGGGAAATTAACTTCGGAATGCGAGTTTTCGGAAGGCGAGGCGTCTCCAGGAACGGATTAAACTCTTATTCTGAGGTATGCCTGTACAGTCTTTAACATAGTTGGGAAGATCATTCCACATTCTGGGTCCCTTGATTTGTAGAGCATTTCTAGTTTGATTAAGTCGTACTCTTGGAATATCAAAACTGTATTTATTTCTGGTGTGGTGCTCATGGGTTCTGTTACAACCTTCAATGAAGCTTTTGAGGTCAGGATTGGCATTACAGTTCAGCGTTTTATATATGTATAATACACAAGAGAGAATGTGCAGTGACTTAATATCTAACATATTTAGAGATTTGAGTAAGGGTAAAACACTAGTGGCCTCGACAAGGACAGGAAGCCGGCTGCTTGCTGAAGGTCCCCCCATTTGTCTTAATCTTTTACAGCTGAACTTTTAAGATTAACAGAGTTTTGTTATCAACGGCTTCGGCGGGTAGGCAGTTGCATAGGTTAATAACCCTGTGGGTGGAGAAGCATCTCCTGTTCTCAGTCTTACTCTGGCTTGTTGAGCTTGCAACTGTTGCTCCTTGTTTGTGTCACATTAGACCCTTTAATGGTTATAATGGACAATAAAAGGGCAGGAAACAATGAATGAATGCTTTACATAAGTGTTCACACTAGAAAGAGTAGATGACATCACATTACCCACAAAAGTGTTTGAAGGCGGTGAAGAGAATGAATTAAGGTATATACCCATAACATGCGATATAATCAGGAAGAACATTGACAAACTAAAAGGTGTCAGGAGTTGGTGTGGGTGTAGGTGTGGGGGGAGGGGGTGAACAGGAAGGAGACATGTGATCTGTCTGTCCAGTGTTGTGTCTTGTCTGGCAGTTTTCAGTACAGACTCCCTGCCTCCCTACCCACCCACTCATTCTTCCTGGTAGGCCAATAGAACTTTGAGAAAGTTGGATCATTAGTATGGCACTGAATCAGTGATAATAAGTGTTTTCTAGACTCGCACAGTTTCTTACCAACCCAGTTTTCTCGGCCGATGTAGTCCATAGGTTAAGTCTAGCCAGCCTGCGGTCTATCCTCATGCCCATGACATTAGGAAGTTTGCTGCTTTGGCTGCCAGGCTGATATTTGGACGCTGGGATTCTGGAGGTCGAACAGCATCCTGGCTGCCCGATATTTGGTTAACATTCCTGCTCCAAGTTAAGGAGTGTGTGGCAACTGCCTCCCTGGTATGTCCCTTTTTTCCTTATCTTTGGTTATGTAGCTCCAGGGAGCCGAAGGGGCTCCCCCCACAGAAAATCAGCATTGAATTTACAGTAATGAAACACCATTTACTGGGTGAACCCCAGAGGCTCCCTGATTCCCTCTCTCCCTCTGGTTGGTGGCTTTTCGCGTTGTTTTGATGCTTAGCTTCCGAACTGGAGTGCTAGGTGGTCTCGAAGTCATTGGGAGGAAAACCCTTCATGCAAACTGCACTTATCGCAAAGGAGTGCTAGGTAGCCAGCGTTGGGGGGGGAGGGGATCTGGGACTCCTCCCTCCCCCTCTCTGAGAGTAAGGGCTGTGTGGACAAGTAGCGCAGCTACAAGGTGTGGTGTTTGCTTGGGATTGGATGGAGTTCTGCCTCTCTGTTCGGTTTTTGGTTACAATTTTCTTACCATGTGGGGTCTGTTTTGTTCTGCCTACCTTTCTGAGTGCCTAACCCCGGTCGATGGCAGATAAGGAAAAACCCCAACCGCACGGGGGTTTTCCAGACCCATTGCTCCCTGTGTCTCTCTGAGGGGGGCCAGGTTCTGGTTCAAGGTCCCTGGTAGGCTAAACTCCATTGTCTCATTAGAGTCAATTAGTCAATCATTAAATCATTAGACTCCCTGGTCTAATGATTTGCATATTAGCCCGATAGCTCCAGGGAGCCTCTGGGGCTCTCACAGAAAATGGCATTTCATTACATTCAACACTGGTTTTATTTTTTTATTTTATTGAGTTTTATTTTCTAGTGTGATTTCCTCAGTATACGGTTTATACTCGCCTGTACTAATTATATTGCCATATACAGTTTAGGGGACTTCTGTCTGAAGCTATAATTCTGAATTTTTGTATACTAACTGTAATACAGTACTTCATAATACTGTACTTTTGCAAAGTTTTATGATTTAAGATTACATTGAATGGTCAAAGTGTACTACATATATATTTAATGTGTATTACCTATTATTTTTCTCTCAGGACACACTAGAAGATAAGATCCATAAATTCTTATACAATGGTGATGACCGCAACATTGTGCAGGTGTATGTGGCTGGCAGGTGTGTCATCAACAACCTCACCTGTGTATGAAGTATCCTCGATATCAACATGTGAGCTGGCCATTGATGGTCTGTATTGTTGATGTTAGAACCCCTCAAGCTTTGCACACATGGCCCATGCAGGTCAACACCACAACACTTGCCTCTGCACACAAAGATGTCTGTGCAAGCCCAAGTGGTTGGACTCTCAGAAAAGACATCCCTTATTAGAACAACAAGGTGCAAACCATACCCTTTATAGTTGAAATTTATTTATTTATTTTTAAGATGTTACATTGGGTTGTGAGAGTACATAACATTGGTGTTCCTACATTCTTGCAAAGCCACTAACACGCATAGTGTTTCGGGCAGGTCCTTAGTCACAACAGATAAGTTTGTTAAGAGGTACATTGTAGCAAAATTTGAGTTTAACATAATAGCTACGATATAAATTGATTGAAATAATTACACTGGTGAAGTTGCATGTCTTAAGTACTATTACTGGGGAAGTGGGTATCGCAAAATACAGTTCGAGTTTGAAATACATTTAGAAACAATGTTGACCAAACCACACACTAGAAATTGAAAAGACGACTACGTTTCAATCCGTCCTGGACCATTATAAAGTTGATTGTGACTTGAAAATAATGCCACCATATTAAGTTGACAATGGACTTGATAATGGTCCAGGATGGACCAAAACGTCGTCATCTCTTCAATTTCTAGTGTGTGGTTTGGTCAACATTTTTCAACCACATTATTGTGACTTCATCTGCTTTAGAAACAATGTTTTGTACTAAAGTAACACAAATAGATATTAATCCATTGCATGACTGTTTGCAACTATAGATCCTAGCAAATGTAAATGGCTTAGCTTATTAACCTTTGGGTTCAGGTCCTGAACCCGTTGAGAGTACAATTTGTAAAAACTCGGTTTTTGCCGCCGAAGGAGGCCAATTTATTCTGCACCCCATACTCAACTTGTGAGTAGTGGCACAAAAAAAATAGATTACATGGGCGTAAAAGGTGTTAATCAGACCTCGGTGAATATTTTTACATTATCAATTACAACTAACAGACTCCTTGCACTGCAACTTCTGTAGTATTTACATTATAATAGTTAACATTGGAGGTAGGAATTTTTTTAATACCTAAAATGATTGTCAATATTATTTTATATTGCAGGGTAATAGAAAAGTTATGGTTAATAGTGTTGAGTCTACACAGTTAATACATTCATCAGCTAAAAGAGAAATGTTGATAGATCATACTTCTTGTTGTTCAGGAACTTCCTGGGATAAAACACGAACACTCCTTGAGGAACTGTGAGGTGCTTATCTGCTTTTCTTTGTAAAAATTCTGAAGTTTCAACAAATGTTCCTGTTTCTATTTATTGTCCTTGCGGCGACTCGACCTAAGCTTTTATTCTGCAACCAGTTGGTATTGCAAGGTTACCAGGGACGCCTCACGGTACAGTAGTGGAATTAAAATATATAAAGCCAAGTTGTCCCTGACTGCCCTTGATTCAGACATTGATGCCATCCTTCTGCATCATTGTTGGTTCTTACCAGTTGTCTGAATGCACACCAGTTTCCCTCTGCCCACACACACACTATTGCACAGTCACGTAGTCTATATATAATCAGTGATATTGTGTCGTTAAGGGTGAACTGCGAGCCAACTTTTAATTCGGCAAATGCTTTTACGTATGTGGTGTTTTGGTAGGAATGGTAAGGCTAATAGATTTTTTACTAGGCTGTACACTGGGCCATATTTAAAGTACGCAGTTGGCAGCAATAATTCTTGAACCTTTTGCCAAACTAGTGTCCAATGCAATGTGCAGCCGTGAATGTGTACAAATGGTAGCAGCTCTCGTACTACACCCCACAAAGCAACCTCAAAATTTATCACAATCTCTTCTACATGAAGCTTGTCTGTGAGCTTTATGGTCTTTAGGAAATCATCACCTGAAATGTACAAATAGGATGGATAAATTAAGCCACACTGTACTATACTTGCAAAACATCTCCAGGTAGCAAAATTGAGATACTTACTTAATAATGCCACCATATTTAATGCCTCATTAATATTCCCCTCGTTATGCATAATCATCCTGTTGTACTCTTCAGTCATCTCACCCTTATTCCCAGATGTCGATATTAGAGAAACTTACAACTATCGCCAGGGAAGACTCCGACACCTCATAGAGCATCCAGTAAGGAGAAGACCCAAACTCAAAAGATGCTGGATCCATCATAGAGGTAAACACCAGGTCTCGCAGGAGGTACTTAAAGAGATCCTCTCAAGCCACTGACGGAGGGACTTGAGAAGACGGAAACCTACAGAAACCTCTGGAAGGATGGTCCCGACAGGACTAACAGCACATAAAAGTGAACCCTGGTGGGATCTGCACTTAAATAAAACTCATTCAGTTAGAAGGGTACAAGAACCCCTACCCCTTGTAACAAGAAGCCCTCATCAGAAGGGACAAAGAACTACTTGAAATCCAAGGGAACCCAAGTGCTCGGCTTCCCCCAAGCCCCAGAAGCCAAAGGTGAAGGCAAAGACTCCGTGGCAGAGCAGGTGTCCTTGCCCACTGCCCGAGGTAGAAAAGTGGAGGCAAGGGGCTTCAGGAGGGGATAGCTGGAAAGAAGCCCAATGGGAGAAAACCCAGAGTGGCTGCTGGGCAGTCGTGGTGTAGATGTAGCTAGCTGCTTCTGTGCTGTCGAGTAGGGCTGTTTGCTGGCTGTTTACCTCTGCACCCTGCAAGTAGTTGTTTGATGGGTCAGGGGTAAGTGTTGAAGTATGTCTTGGAAGTTTTTTCTTACCAAGTTTGGGCTGTATATCGCATCATTTATTGCTAGGAAATGAGGTATTTGGGTGCTTTGGTGGGGGTGATGGGGCCTAAGGCTGCTGTCCATGTTGTTGGCTCTTCCACAGACGCTGCAGGTTATGCCAGTTTTGCAGCCAATGACGAGCGTCTCTCAATTGTGGGTTGGACCTCAGTTGGGATGGATGTTGGCACTAATTAAATGTAAGCATCCACAGAAAGGTAAGTGATGCTGCATGTCTCAAATGGGTTATAAAACTTTTAAAAACAATAATGAACTCTTGGCTGCCAAATCAGTGTTGAAGAGGTGTGTTTATGTCTGGCAAGCTGGGAGATTCAGTGATCTTGGTGAGAAATGTGACTTGTCCAAGAGGATGAATGAAGAACAACACATTGATGGACATTTATGAAGCTGTTCATTACCTGAACACCATAAATAAACTTGACAGACTTGTAATGTATTTGGACAAGTTATAATAGCATGTTGCTTATGAGTGACCAATTTAATGCTCTGGAAAAGGCTGGTTGTGACTGATATGACTTAATGTTGTGCTGACTAAATTCGTGATGCTTCAAGATAATGTGAATCCCTTGCAAGCTGTTTCCTTGCATCTCACTCTCAGCACCTCCCAAGAACACACCTAAACTGGGAGAAGGCCACTATTGCTGACCTGGATAAGTTTAATGGAAAAGTAAAAAATATGCAAATTGCAACCAGTTCAATTGCCTGTACTATTTAGTGTAGTTTGCATCAGAAGTCTTGATGACATATTTACATCAGTGCTAGTTAGGGTAGGGATGATAGCATCCTTAAAACAAATAGAAGAAAAGGTATATTTGGTTAGAATAATCTTGTTAAGGAATTTCAAAATAGATTTGCATTTTGGCATAGCCTATGGAAACATGAAGGGTTCCCCCCAGAGATGGGTGGCTACCCCAGATCAGATGTAGCACTAGGGCTTGATGTCATCAAACCATAAAGAGGATCAAGAAAGAGAGAGATAATATTGTGAGATTAAAGGTTGCTGATAACCTTTTACCTCACAATGAGGAATTCAATGAGCTTGTGCTTGTTTTGAGAGATTCAGATGATTGTTTACATTGTTGAGGTTACAATGGGGTAGCTTCATTTGGCAGTGTTGAGACTTTGGTCTCTGAATTTGGCAGTCGTCTGTATTGGTTCAGACTTTCTGGGTGCTTTCTTGGTGAGGTGGCAGAGTTCTCTGCATCTGTGTGAGGGGCCCCAGGATCTGGCTCTTGTCTCTGGCAGGCCATACACAATGCCATGGGTGATGTGAGGTAGTAGTCGAGTCATTTCAACTTTAGGGAGCCACAAGGAGGGAGCTTCAGAAACAGTAATACTGTACTGGTATCACTCTACAAATGTTTCCATATTACAAATCACTTCACTTTGTAAAAAATCACTTTGTAACATGTTCCCATGTTACAAGTCACTCTACAAATGTTCCAATAAATGTATTGAAATTAATTTTGTTTTAGCACATTCATGGACAATGGTGTACTTATGCACAATTATGTTCAAGTTTTTTTGCAAGGAATACGATTAAACTTAGTAATTATTATAGATATTTATTTAAAAAAGTAGTAGAATACATACAAAAATTAACCAGAACAGCATGTATCTGCTGTGATAATAAATATCAAAAGATTGCAAATATTTACAAACACAATAATTGAAATTCACCTTAATTTTCTACAAATACTGTATGCCACTAATTTTCAGCAATTATGAACATAAAGTTTTCAGATAATTATGGCTATTAATATTCTAGTAATTATGGCAAATAGATTTAAACAAAATCTGGATACTCATAATTTTTAACAAATTAAATCTAATTAATTTTCAATCAACACTGGGTACTCTTAAGAAAATAATCCATAATTTTATTACCTACATTTTCTTTTACAATTACAAACTTTAATAACACAAATTACCAAAGTATTTGTCATTAAAACAATTCGGTAAGAATGTTAAAATACATAATTGTAAGGTAATCAGATCTGTATGACTGCAATTACTGACACATCATATTCTAATTAAAAAAATTCCTATTATTTCAAGATAAAATATAACAAATTTACTGTATAAAATTGAATCCTAAAAGACTTATGATAAAATTATAAATAGAAATTTTACAAGATTTATAAAAACAGAATATTTAATAATTATTATTTGATTAATGTAAGTGCCTTGAAGCCTCCACTGCCTAAACATACAGTACTCACTCTTGTTAATATATACTTAATTTACAATATAAAATGATACATATTCAGAACATAAGTGACATCTGTAGATCAGATCAAAGCAATAGAAAATGCACATCTTAATTTTGAAGTATAGTAAAGTGGTACTGTACCGCCATTTATGAATTTAATCCGATCCCAGAGATGGGTCGTAACTCGAAAATTCGCAACGAAACAAATTTTCTCATAAGAAATAATGTAAATTGAATTAATCTGTTCCAAAACGTTCTAAAAACATTAACTTCAAAATACATTTCATACATAATGCACACACATATTTTGTAATGATATGTACAAGTTATAGCTGACCTTTATTGATGACTCTTATTGGCATATGGAAGAGTGTGGAGGGGGGGGGGAGGTGTTGTTGTTTGGAAGGTGTTGTTGTTTGGAAGGTGTTGTTGAAGGTGTTTGGAAGGTGTTGGGGGGGGAGGTGTTGTTGTTTATTATAATATCAGGCAGTGATGACTTCTCTAGGGTACACTCTCCTGTGTTTTGCCTGCATACCACAAGGACCTGGTTGTGGTTCACTGCTTGTTTTTCTCACTAAAAACTTTTCCATACAGGCTTGTTTTTCCCTGCGTCTGAACACTTGTCTATAGTAAGACATCAGTGTCATTGAAAAGGTTAAGGCAACGCCCTACTACAGCTTGATTTGGGTGAGTTGTTTCAACAAAACTTTGCATTTCTTTCCGTACTGTACACCACTTCTTAATTGTTGAGGAAGGGATATGCTGTACTGCCTCCTCCTTCCCTGAAAAAATTTCCTCAGTTGTCTCTTGTTGCTGCTCCTTGTGAAGGGCTAAGAGTTCTTCGGTGGTCAGTTCTTCCCTGCTTTCCTCCACCAACTTGCAACACACAACACTGTGAATGCCATTTCTTTTTCTAAATTTCTCAAACCATTCCCCTGCTCGCCTTAAACTATTTCGTATCTGCATCACTCGTTCCAGGGGGGGTTTTCTTTATAAGATCTTCATGCATTAACCTTGCTTTTTTTCACAAATGATGACCTCTGAAACACTATCACCTGCTAACAACTCTTTGTTGTGTATCCAAATTAATAATAACTTTTCAACATCCTCAAGTGTTTGTGTTCAATGTTTCATGATTATTGATATGCCTTTTGCCACTTTAGCATTCACAATGTCCTTTTTCTTAGCAAGTTTGGTGGATATTGTTGACATAGATGTGTTATACTTCCTAGCTAGATCAACAATCCGCACACCATCTTCATGTTTACAAATGATCTCTTGTTTTTTCCTCTATGGTCATCCTCACATGTGTTGTCTTAGGTTGAACCTTACCACTGACTTTCTTAGGACCCAAGGCATGATATATAATAATTACTTTTATGTTAAAATTTTTTTTTACAAAAACGATGAAATTCTTTACAAAGAATTCAAGTGCAATCGTCACTAAGCGGGCAGTCTGGTAAACTGAAGTGGGGCCGGCTGTGCCACCAGAAACCATGCTCTTCGTCTACCCATACGTGTATCAACAAAGCCGCAAGTTGAGGCAAAAGTCGTAAGTAGAGTAAAATTTTCCAATGAAATTGGGTTCATAACTCGAAAAATTCGTAAGTAGGGGCATTCATAAGTCGAGGTTCCACCGTAATAATTTCTCCATTAGTCTATAGCCTATTAAGACAAGACATAAATAATGTGCTAAATAAACTCCCCTCCCCCCCCCCCCCAAAAAAAAACTTTTGTTTATACGAGTCGTACGATGGGAATAGTATGTTGGATAAAAAAAAAATTGTACACAAATAAAATATTTAACTATATGGGAGCTCAGAAAATATCGAAACACTTGAATTAATAGGAGGCAATGAACTCTAGTAACAGATAATAAATTACTTACTGAAATTTAATGCACTATTTAATATTTATTAATTATTTAATTTTAATTAAATAATTATTTAATTAAATATTTAATGCAATAGCATTACCTTTAGATGAAAAATGCATAGAATTCACAGAGATTTGTATTGCAGTAGACCTATCGTATATCTTTCATCAGTGTTAAATTGCATGATAATAAAGTGTTGTCTGTATCTATAAAACAGAATGTCCTAAGTTGTGTACTGGACACTCTGGGCCAGCCTCAGTAAACTTTGCATGGGGAAGGTGTGAAGATGCTTACAGTGATAGGAAGAATGAGCAGGGCATGTGTGTAGTTACAGGATAAGAGCTATGCCCGTGGTGTCCCATCATCCCAGCACTGTTATATAATATAACGCTTTGAAATATATGGTGTGTGGGAGGGGGGAGGGGGAGTGAGACATCTGAAGGCATGTGGGTATAGCCTGGGCACAGGGTTGACTTGGACACTGCCAGATGCCCCATCTAGTATTCTCTATTAGTCACTCCCAAACTTTAATTTGGAATCTAATAATAAATGTAGACATGAAATTACATGATACACTGGAACAGGAAGTGGGAATTGCCTCCGGCTACATATTGATAACACTAGATTAACACTACTAGTACTACTAGCAACAATAGATTAATTCATGGGCACTTGATAGAACACAAACCTGTGCCTTACTGTCAGAATGTCTTGATTTCAGGATGATTGGAAATTTTGCTGTCTCACTGTTATTTTGAGTCACGTGTTCCATGATACAATCCTCAGAATCCAATATCTTTGACATTGTCTGGCATGTCATTCTATTCTCTCATTACATACCGAGTTATATCTAAGAATGTTTAAATATTCTGTAGCAGACAGTGGTATACAGTGACACCTCGGCTTACGAATGTCCCTCTTTACGAACTTTTCGGGTTATGAGCGCAATTTCTTCGTAAAATCAGAATCAGGTTACAAACTTTGCCTTGGGTCATGTAGTTGGTTGATACGTGTATGGCAGACATAGCTCATGGTGGTACGGTGACCACACCTCAGTTTACCAGTGCCTCCCGCCTAGTGACAATCGCGCCTGAATTTCTTGTTAAGAATTTCAATGTTTTTTTGATTTTTGGGTATTTGAACATAAAAGTAATTATTCTATATCTCGCCATGGGTCCCAGGAAAGTCAGTGGTAAGGTTCAACCTAAAAAAAATAGTTGTGAGTAGAGGCAGTAGAGGATGTATGACCCTTCCTCATTAAGAAAATGTGTGAAGTATGCGAAGAACTGCAAAGTTTTGTTTTAAAAAATCGCCCAGATAAAGCTGTAGCAGGCCATTGCATTGACCTTTTAAATAACAATATGATGTCTCACTACAGACAAGTGTTAAAATGTAGGGAAAAACAAGTGTCTTTAGACAGTCTTAGTAAGACAAGCAAGCAGTGAGCCACAACCAGGTCCTAGTGGTATGCCTGCAAAACATAAGAGAGAGTGTACCCCAGAGAACTTATCACTGCCTGATGTTATGATGGAAAGAGACTCCCCTTCAAAACACTAACACCTCTCCTTCTCCTCCTCACCGTCTTCCATACGCCAACAAGGGTCATCAATAAAGGTAAGCACTAACGTGTACATACTTTAGTTCTAAAGAATTGGGTGAATTAGGTATAAAATTTACCTTGAAGTTAATAATTTTGGGAGTGTGGAACGGATTAATTCAATTTACATTATTTCTTATGGGAAAATTCACTTCGGTTTATGAATTTTCGGGTTACAAACCATCTCTGGGAACGGATTAAATTCGTAAGCTGAGGTACCACTGTATAGTAGTCCAGAATTTGCACTTTCTTTTGATAATTATTTATATTTATAAAGTATATTTATATACTTTCTTTTGATAATTATTTATATATATATATTTATATTATGTAAACTGAGAGGCCATTGCAAAGTCAAAGTTAAATAAAATTGTTGTGTATATATAATTTCAGAAATATACTGTAACAGTTTAAATTTGAATGACTGGCCCCACTGTCGAGATTCTGTATACTATATTATGAAGTATGTATACTGTATGTACTATATTACAATATATATATATTTGTCAATAAATTTAAACTAAATTAAACAGAGTAACTGGAACCCTGTTCTATACTCGAAGTTGAAGTTCCTTCAGCACTCTCTTGTTCCTCTTCATCTGACAGCTGTTTGAGGGATATTTCCTTTTTGCCATGTGTTTCTGGTAGGAATCTGGAAAATGATTTGAATTAAAATCAAGTTCAAAAATAAGTTTACACAACATTACCAGTAGGAGTAATATAATTAACAAGCAACTATACAGTTATGACAAAAACACTAGAAAACCTGCAATTATAAAAATTATTAATACGGTAGCCAGTTCCTCTATATTTTTGCTTATAAAAACAGCTATAAATAACTAAGAATAATAATTGTAAAGTATTAAGGAAATAAATATTTGGCCAATGCCCGTTGCCAAAATCATATGTGAGAGCCAATGTATGACCACAACACACTGTTCCTCTTTGAATTCTGGTAACACTGACCTGATCATGTTGGGCACGTACCTTATAGAAATCAAATATAGAAAAGTAAAGTTGAGTGAAGCTACCCCCCCCCCCCCCCCCGGCATCTGGCATCTAACCTTGGAGACACACACACGTATTTTAACTGATAGATATGCTAGATAGGGTACCTCATGATGCTTGGGTGGTGTCTCTTCAAATTTGACCATTTTACTTGTTGGTATACAAAAAACCAACATTAAATGTAATGAAATGCCATTTTCTGGGTGAGACCTGGAGGCTCCCCAGAGCTATACTGGACTGATGTGTATATATTAGATCATGGTAACAGCCAATCAATGGAGTTCTAGGCCTACTGGGAACCAGCGCCAAAACCTGGCCCCTTCAAAGAGGCACCTCTCTGAGGGGGAGGCCTTTTGGCTTCCACCACCTTCTTATCTAACTTATTCCAACCGTCTACCACTCTGCAAAAGTGAATTTTTTTATATTTCTTTGGCAGCTTTGTTTAGTTAGTTTAAATTTATGAAGTCTTGTTTGTGGAGTTTCAGGTCTCAGGAATTCTTCCCTATCAATTTTATCGATTACCTTTTACTATTTTGTACATAGTGATCATATCGCCTCTTTTTCTTCTATCTTATAGTTTTGGCATATTTAATGCCTCTAACCTTTCCCTCGTAGCTCTTGTCCTTCAGTTCTGGGAGCCATTTACTTGCACGTCTTTTCACCTTTTCCAGTTTGCTGATGTACTGTACTTCTTAAGATATGGGCACCATACGACCACTGCATATTCCAACATTGGTCTCACAAAAGTTGTGAACAATTTCTTTAGTATTTCACTATCTATGTACCTATTTAAAAGCAATTTTCAAGTTGGAAGGCATAGCATAGGCTCTTCACACAATGTTCTTTATGTGGTCCTCGGGTGACATGTAGTAGAAGTGTGTTGAAAAGTTTTGGGCCTCTGATGTTGAGAGTTCTCCCTCAGCATACAAAAGACGCACAAAAAGTTCAAGCAGAAGCACATGATTGAAAGATATATACATTCAAAGAGTTTTGTATCACTAATATGTATTTTAAACATATGAATACACATAAAAATACATGTTTTTAAAATACAAAAATTAAATTAAAATTAAATTCTCTAATATTGACTAACCCATACTTTTTCTATGATATTAAATTTTATAAAAAACTTACTTGTATATAAAGATAAAGAGAAGGCAAGAAGAAGCAATAAATATTGAGAATGACCATTCCCCAAGGACCTCTTGAACCAAAGGAAAGGCAAGACCCACGACGAGGTTACAGAGCCAATTGCTCGTACCACCAACAGCTATCCCAATTGACCGTGGGCCCAGTGGGAAGAGTTCTGTCAGAGTAAAACTATAAACATTAATAACTAAATGTTTGATAATCTTATTTATATATTCATTATGGTTTTTAAAGATTAAACTAAGATGATTATATTTAAGGGTTTCAAGAATATTAAGGCTATAGATATATATTTATGAAATGTACATTTCTTACCTATAAATTTTCCATGATATCATACTGTATATCAAATGTATGTACTGTACTCTTAAAAAATATAAAAAATAAACAGTTGACAGTAATGAAAAGCCAGTTTCTGGGCGAGCCCTGTCGGCTCCCCGAAGCTATCTTGCTGATCAAGTGCCATACTACTTGAGTGTCATTTGTCGCAGAGTTCTTTGTAAGCCTACCGGGGACCATGAGCCAGAACCTGGCCCCCTCCAAAGAGAGGTGAAAGATTCCCCCCCCCCCGTCCCCTGTCCCCTCGTTCTCCTCAACATCCCCCCCCCCCCATTCCCCACTCCCCTGTCAACTCGTCCACCCCACCATCCCCATCTCCCTCGTCCTCCCCACCATTCCCCCCCCCACTCCCCCCATCACCTCGTCCTCCCCACCATTCCCCCCCCCCCCAGTCTTCCCCACTCCCCCATCACCTCGTCCTCCCCACCATTACCCCCTCCCCCATTCCCTCGTCGTCCTCACCATTACCCCCTTCCCTCATCCTCCCCACCATTCCCCACTCCCTCGTCCGATGAGTTCCCAAATGATCTGATGTTCCCATCAAATTCAAATGTTTATTCAGGTAAAATACATACATACAGGGTGTGATACAAATATTGATGAATTTATAGATAGAGCTGGTACATACAATGCCTAAAGCCACTATTACGCAAAGCGTTTCGGGCAGTAAAATCCCATCAGAAATATGGGAACATCAAATGATCTGATGTTCTTATCACTGAAAAGTAAGAACAGTTAATAAACAAAATGAAAAACAATGAAAAAATAAAAAAATAAACTATACTCACAAAATGAATAACATTGTAAACAACACAGCTCAATTCCAATGCAATGTCAAAATAATTAAATCAAAACGAAAATAAATCAAAATCTATGAAAATTAAATTTATCAATGCAATCGGAAACATTGAAATTAATATAGTGTGTGTTGCTTTTATGTGCAACAGATGGCGCTATTTTACAAAAAAAGTATGTTTTTACCTGTCACAGGTTTGACATCTATGTAGTAGGTACAGTATATAAAAACAAGCATGTATTCGAATAGAACGTTGTGTCAAAATTTAAAAACAATCAGTAAAGAGCTTTCGGAGATTACAGCGTGTGTTGCTTTTACGTGTAACAGATGGCGCCGTTTTTTTTTTTTTAAAAAAAGCATGTTATTGCCTGTCACAGGTGTGGCATGTATATGGTAGGTATATAAAAACCACAAGCTACCAGACCTTTTTGTTACACACCTCCAGGAAGCAGCCTGTAGCAGCTGTCTAACTCCCATGTACCTATTTACTGCTAGATAACAGGGTCATCAGGGTGAAAGAAACGTTGCCCATTTGTCTCTGCCTCCACCGGGAATCGAACCCGGAACCTCAGGACTACGAATCCGAAGCGCTGTCCACTCAGCTGTCAGGCCCAGGTCAGGCCTAACTATTATTTTCTAGACAATTATGTTCATTTGTTTTATAATAAATTTTCAGTAATCTATCATCAGCCACAATAGTATGAATATATAGGCCCTCTCTTATTAAAATTACAGTGATAAATACTGGTTGTATTGTGTGTAAACTTCACAAGGTTAATAATTTGTATGATCAAGAACAAGGACTTAGTCCTTTTAACCATTTATAATTATACGTATATGTAATTCTATACTGCTATTGCTTCCTAGCAACATATACTGCTTGTAAACATATATACATAACTAGATGGGGTACCCTGTTCTGCCAGAGTATCTCTCTCTCCTCCCTCCCCCTCCCTTCTCTTCAAATTTTACCCCATTCTCTTACCGCTCTTTTTCCTATTCCTCCTCTTATTTCTTCCATCCACTAAACTCTCCACCTATCTCCTCCTGCCTCTTGCCTAACATTGATTTGATAACATACAGTTACCACCCCAGATAACAGTGATAAAATTGGCTTATTGAACTCATAATTTAGTTAGCAAATGTTTATCATGATACACTGAACATAATTTTAAACATATGGTTGTAGTAATAAACATACATAAACATATGGTTGTTGTATGTAATTTCTTTCAGACTTACCAGTAGCAATCATGTATGGGACAGGACCAAGTCCCATACCATAAACTAGCACATATGACATTAGAGCCACTATGGCAACAAAGGGTGCACATGGAGATGTAGGGATGAGGTTCAAGGAAACCATGAGCACAATCTGACACAAGCTGCACAACGCCACAGAGGTCAGGAGTAGCACTCTTCGACGGAAGTATCTGTAAGTGATCAATTCTTGTAATCATCATTCACCTAAATATTCTACAGCAGTACAGTAGTTGGAATGGGAAGAGAGGTGATTAAAGCTCTCAGAGGTGACATAAGTGAATTTAGTGAGGTACTATAAATAATACACAAAACAACACACACAAATCACAATAACGTGATAAATCAAATGAAACAAATCCACAAGGGCCTTGATGAGGGATGGAACCTATGTGCTGAGTGTTCCCAGACGCGCCTTAGTCAACTGTACCCATGACATGGTCAAAAGAATGGCAACCTGGAGTGCTACTGGAGTGCAACCTCATGGGGTGCAGTAGCACTCCAGGTTGCAATTCTTCTACCATGTCGTGGTACAGTTGACTAGAGAGCGTCTGGGAACACTTAGCACATAGGCTTGAACCCTCATCAAGGCCCTTGTGGATCTGTTCACAAAACAGTGCTATACAGAAGAGTACAGTATATGGTTTCATGTAAATGGGGATTGGAAGCTTGTTAGCTGAATCAAGATCTCTTTAGACCAGGAAGCAACCCACAACAGTTGCCTAATGTCTAGATACCTATTTGCCCCCATGTGAATAATGTATGTAAACTTGCCCAAACGTCTCAATTTGGCCGAAAATTGAAATGGATCCCTTTGGCAATAAGCTGACTATTCTGACTACTGCAGTACAGTTTTGACAACCTCGCCTCAATAAAAATACAATCATATTCTGTTATAATTAGTATTATCATGCAAGCATTACTTGATAAGTGGCATGGCAAGAATGGCCATCATGCAGTTGATGGCACCAGCTCCTATAGAGGCACATTGGCTCTGATACAGATCCAGTCCTACACTTCGGAAGATCAACGTCGAATAGTAAAACACCTGAAAAAATAAATGTATAATAATTTTATGTTCATTCAGTTTTGTGTAGAGGGTTCAGTTCCTGAACCGAATATGTGCCTCTGTAAACTTTTACAACACTGCCCACGGGATGGGTATGGGGTGCATAATAAAGAAAGAAATTGAATTAAATTGACCACGAGGATAGCTCTCATTCTACAACTACACTTTGGTAATAGAAAAAAATTCAATTTTTTTTTGCATACCATGGGAGGGTCTCATGTAAAGACTGAGCAGTACAGGGGTTAAATCAACATATGATGTTAACTATATTACTCTGTGAAACAACATATTCAACATATGCACATCAGAAGTGCAGAATAGATGCACTTCTGCTGTGCAAGTCTTCTTACTGTAAGGTGTCTAACTTTGACACAAATACTAAACATTTTATGTAATTTCTAGAATACATTATTTTGGAAAATATGCAAATATAATTTAACTTACAGCATTAATGCCTGAAAATTGTTGGCCAGCATTGAAAAGCACAGTAATTAATAACAACATTTTGCCTCTTCGAGATTGAATCACTTGTGAGAGACTCCATGCCTTCCCTTCTTGTGCTACACCACTAATTACAGCAAGACTTCTTAACGATGACTCCTCGGCTTCCACATATTTATTGTCCCTATGTAAGCGACATAGTTCTGGAAAGTATGATGGTTATAAAAGTAAGCTAATAACAGTTGTTAAAAACTTAAATATTTGCACATAAGAAAGTTGATACAGTATATATCAGTATACTGTATATACAATACTACATATAAAGTATATACAGTACTACAATAATATAACAATAATTACAATTAGATGAAATAAAATAACATTTTATGAAGTACATCAAGAAACTCAAAGAGCAAGAAGTTAATGGCTGAAAATAAACAATATAGTAAGTATTCAAAAATTCATGATGAATAACTGTGTAGCATTAATGAAAATTCCATGAACGAATTTAAATTTATTTAACAATTCAAATATATTAGCCTACTTTTTATTTAGTATTACATATTACCTAATTAAACTTATAAGTAAGCTAGTTATGATTAGTTATGCCCAAAATGCACAGTGTATTAGTGGCTTTATATAAATTACCATGTATACCTACAAATACACCACTGTACCATATTTCAAAAGTTCTTTATATAAATAAAAATGACTATATTATTCCATATTATTATTATTGCATTCACCTGGACTCTAGGAGACTGGAACTGCGGATCCCACACGTGTGAGGCCCAAGCTCTATCAACCGGGCTATTGAGTGGGGCCTCACACGTGTGGTGTCCGCAGGTCAAGTCTCCTAGAGTACAGGTGAATGAAATGTTTACTTCCACAGAAGTGTGGATGACAATTTACTACTATTATTATTATTATTAGTTGAAACACTAAAGATTTAGTTCAGTATTGTATAGTATTAATGCCACACAAATTTTAACAGAATTGGATAACCATATAAAAAATTCAAAATTTGATATATCCACAGAGTTGCAGATATGTATAAGTAACTTCATGAGATAGATAATAAGATGTAAAGGTTCTTACCCTTCCGCCCTCTGACTTCATCCCGCAATATTATGTAGCAATATGTCGGTGACTCCGGAAGAGCTGGGTGAAGCACAACTGCTATACTCACACACACCAAGTAACCTCCTAACAAATATGGCCAACCATTTTCCGTACCTGAGAAGAGAAAAGAAACAAAAATGCATGAACTGAACCCATATTATATTCTAGTTCTGTACTTTACTAAAGGCACCTACCAAATACAGTACCATGTAACACCTGAAACCAATACTGTTTGCTGATGACACAACCTTAATTTTTTCATACACTGACCGAGTTATCCTAACTAACACAGTAAATGCTGAACTTAAAAATGTCCAAATAAAGCTAACAATCTCACCCTTAAAATTAAGAAAATCACATTAAACATTAGTCCTTCAACTGCTCACCACAACCAGGGTTGTTTCATCGATGGTGCACACCACAACCAGGGTTGTGTTTTGGTCTAGCATAAGATTTAAAACTCCCACTGGTACACGGGGTTCACTTCCTATTCTTCAGGACTCCGGTAAACAGATGCCATCTTGAAAAAAATAAGTAATTATTTTGTGATGGTAGTGCCAAACATGATCCTGTGATGAAGACTATGTATACTATTCAGATATCAGTGAACACAATGCTAATTATGATGTTCACAATGTGAAGCAAATTAGGGCCAGAGCAACTAGTCAGCCTGACTCAGAAGAGAACTGACCAGCTTGTGGCCTGGGAACCACGGGCTGCCCACCCCCATTCCCCAAACCCTGATGGAACCGGGGTAAACGAGCGTAAGCTGGATCAAAACATCAAAACATTGCCTTTACTGCCTCTACTCACAATTATTTTCTTAGGTTGAATCTTATTACTGACTTTCTAGGGACCCATGGCATGATATATAATAATTACTTTTAAGTTCAAAAAATAAAAAAAAAGTACAAAAACAATGAAATTCTTTACAAAGAATTCAAGCGCGATCATCACTAAGCAGGTGGTCTGGTAAACTGAAACAGGGTTGGCCGTGCCACCAGGAACCATGAACTCCATTGACCCATACGTATATTAACAAAATCGCAAGTCGAGGCCAAGGTCATAAGTCAAGTTGACCACCAATTGTGATGAAGATTGATTGATTGATAAAGATTAAGCCACCCAAGAGGTGGCACGGGCATGAATAGCCCGTAAGTGGTACAATTTTTTTTTTTTCTCTGTAAATTGTGATGAAGTTGATGCAGGCAATAAATAGGCAAGAGAGAGGTGAGGAGGAAGATAAGGTGTAGTAGAGGGGATAGTAGTAGGAGTAAGAACTGCAGAAGGCCCATTGGCCCCATACGAGACAGCTCCTATTATAACCACCGAATGAGAAGAGGATAGTAATAGGAATAAGAAGAGGATAGCAAGGGAACGCAAGAGAAAACAATGAACAAAAAAAAGAGAGAAGAGAGAAAACAGGAAAGAGAAAGAAAGATAAATGGAAGGGTAAGCTTATGTCATAAGTCGAGTCAAATTTTCCGATGAAATTATTAACAGGGACCTACCTTTTTGAGTTAGTAACTCAAAAAAATTTGTAAGTAAGGACATTCGCAAGTCGAGGTTCCACTGTAACTCCACCCATGGATGTCAACCAGCAAATTCACACTAAACATTGAAAAGATCTACCACAATATATTTAGAAGTAAATCGTCAAACCAAATTCACCTTCAGATAGACACTGTTAACACTAGGATTAAAAATGGTGGAAAGCTTCTTGGCCTATATACAGACAAAAGATTAAACTTCAGCACCCACATACAACACATAGCCAAACAAATCCCAAAAACTGTTGGTATCTATCAAGAATTAGATTTTATGTTCCCCACTCTGCTCCCTCTCATTTTACTACGCAATAATCTATCCCTATCTTACATATGGCATCTGTGCATGGGGGTTCAACCACTGCAAATTACCTTAAGCCTATCATCACTCAGCAAAAATCTGTTATCAGAATAATAACAAACTTTGTATTCAGGCAACACACAGCCCCTCTAAGTCCTTTAACATGCTAAACATAAACTCACTCCACACATTCTCATGTGCTATTTACATGTACAAAACCTTATTCCTAAATGCTAATCCTGATCTGAAATTCTTCAGATTAGGTAAATATAATAGAACCCATGCCAATCCACACTAGACAAATATCTCTGATATTCCTAGAGTCGGACTAAACCAGTGCAAAACTCCATTCAAATACAGTAAATGGATCCAGTCTATGAAACTCACTCTAATGAATTAAGAAATTGTCCAACCTACACTTTATTTAAAAGTAAAACAAAAAATTGCCTCATTTCATCCCCATAGTTTCCTACCTTGTGCTTCAAACCCGCACTGTATCTTGTGCTACCCACTCCACCAATTTTAATACTTAAGACATGCAACTTCACCAGTAAAATCGATGCTATAAATTTATAATGTAGCTTTTATCTTGAACCCAAAATTCTGCTACCATGTACTTCTTATTACTTTTACTTTTATCAGTTAGCTTAAGGACCTCCCTAAAATGCTATGTGTGTTAATATGTTAGTAACTTTTCAAGAATGTAATACTCAAACACCAATGTTATGTACTCTCACAAAGTAAATAAATAAATAAAGCAGTGTCAATATCTGACATACTATGATGAAACAGTGTCTGACATGATATGATGAAACATTATTATTTCCTGATATCAACACTTACCTAAGGCACTCTCCATTCCTAATATTTGTGAGAAGAGCAGACCTGTACACAAACCAAGAGGAAATGTGACCCCCATTACACCTCTGAGGTCAGCAGTCACCACTTCGGACAAGTAGAGAGGCACCAAACATGTAGCCAGACCTAAGGGAAGACAAGAGTTACATATAATTATTTGCCACTTTACAGATGTAAGGTAATAGGACTAGGTACTATTTACATATGTGAATGAACATTGATTTGTTTCACAGATACAGTACACACAAACTGGTTTTAGTTTCTTGGTGCCGAAGATTTGGATACAATAAATTTTAACATTCTGTAGAGATAAAGGAGGGAAAGCTTCTGCTGGCTTTGCAAGGGTACATAACCAGCGTTCAATGTAATGAAACGCCCTTTTCTGGGTGTGACCTGGAGGCTCCCCGGAGCTAACTGAGCCGATATAAATGTATTACCCCTGGTATTAGTCAATGCACATGGAGTTTTAGGCCTACTGGGGACCACGAGCCAGAACCTGGCCCCCCTCGGAGAGGCACAAGGAGCAATGGCCTATAGAAACCCCCGTGTGGTTGGAAATATTCTATGTCTGCCATCGACCGGGTCAGGTACCCAAAAAGGTAAGTACCCTTAAACAAACCACTATTCTGGTGAAAATATTGCTACTGAAAGCCAAACTAGTGGACAGAACTCCCCAAATGAAAACGAGCAAATGAGCATTACGTCCCCACATCACCGCGCCACTATCTGTGCAACCCCCCCTCTTGGGAGGGGGAAGGGGGAGCCCCAGACTCCTGTGCTGGCTATCCAAATCCCTAGTTCTGTGGCTAATGTGAACTGGCATGGTCGTGTGCCTTTGGCTCCTGTATTTTTCCAGTTCTGTGCCTTGTGGTGTGGTCCTGTCTACTAGGTGGTGCATGAGCCAAGAGTAATTTCACAAGCACTTGGGCTGCATGCACCTAGGGTCCTCTTCCCTAGGTGCCCTGTAAGTACTACCCTAGGGGCTTGGGACCAACTTACGCAAGTCACCTTGGGGTCTACCTCCACAAGGTTTTTTGCTGTTCAGTGATTGACTGCCCTTTGAGTCAGCTATGGTGTTTCATGCACCATTGTTTGCCTCTGGGTAGGGGTAGTTTCGTCACTGGTTGGGGCACAGGGTACTGTGCAGCTAGTTGTCACCTCTCATAGTGGCCATCTCTGTTCCACCTGGGCACGTTGTCCTCCTGCGGGGTTTTTATTTTTTGTTTTCCTGCCTGGTGGGGGGGGAGGTCTGCCCCTTGGTTTTGGTCACACACTATTATATCTCTGTGGTCCTGCACTAGGCCCCTGTGAGTGTACACGTCCTGGAGGTGTAGCTTTAGCAGCTTGCTTGGTAATCTTGGGTGCCAGTTAGCAGTACCCTGCCTGGGTTTCCTTAGCAAGATACACGACTAGGGGGCCCTGGGAAACCCTGCGGGGGCTCTTTGCTCCGATGGATGCCACCCCTGGGTCCCCTCTCACTTTATGCGAGTTTGAAGGCTGCTCTGTCCCCTTGTCTCAGGGTGACAATCACTGGTTGTGAGTCCGTCATGCTTCCTGTTGGGTCGGTGACACTTTTGACCCGGAGTCTTGCGAGTGGTGTTGCATGCATGTTCTCCATGTTCTCCAGTTCACCCAGGCTACCGAGCTTTATATTCGGGGTGTAGGTAGCTTCAACGTTGCATGCTCGTTTTAGGTTGCTGCAGCACGCTAGGTTAGTTGTTACCCCGGATGCCCGGAGACTGCTCCGATTTGGATATAGAGGACCCGGACTTGGGGGTGTTAGTCACTACGACTTTGGTTCAGTCTGTATTCCCTTGTCCTTCCCCTTCTTTTGTTCATCCTGGTCCCCGGAAATCCACTTCGGCCAATCATCAGCCAGATACCCACACCCACATACAGACTGGTTAAGCGACTCAACTGTGCTGACTCCTTATGTGCTTTGTGCTTTAAGCCTGAAGTCTCCAAAGGAATCTGTTGACTTGTTGCAGGGAGTGCAGGCTACGGGGATGCGAACTTCTCTGGATGTGGAGTTGCTGTTTACCAACATGCCTGTGGATGAAACAATCAGGATGATGATGGACAGAGTGTATCGTGATTTGGATTGTACCCCCCCTAGACATACCAGAGACCATACTGAGGAAGTTACTCGAAGCTTGCATGCATTAAAGAGGCACCCGTCTTGAGTCCCGATGGGCACATGTATAAACAAGTACAGTAGATGGGTCGCCATGGTTTCTCCCCTAGGTGTCCTGTTTGCAAATTTTTTCATGGGTACCATAGAGCAGAGGGTCTTAGTTGACATGGACTTAAAACCTGCCATATACTACAGGTATGTTGACAACATATTTATGCAGGTACCTGATGTCGAACGTTTGCAGCAGTTGAAGGAAGCATTCCAGCAAAATTCAGTATTAAGTTTCATTTAGGAGATGAAGAGTGATGGGAAGCTGCCCTTTCTAGATGTAACAGTCGCAGAAAGGAATGGTGGCTTTCATACTGCAGTCTACACTAAGGATACGAACATAGGAATGTGCCTTAATGCTAATAGTGACTGCCTGGACAGGTACAAGTGGAGTGTTGACAATGCTTACGTCAACCGAGCTCTCACTCACAGCTATAGTTGGAAGCAGATGAACGAGGAACTCTGTAGAGTAAGATAGGTCCTAGTCAATAATGGCTTCTCTAACGGTTATATTGCAGACGTCATTAAAAGAACCGTCACAGGTATAACGACAACAGAAGACTGGACATCAGCGAGGCCCTACACATCAAAAGGTCAAGACCAGCAATCAACAACCAGCTAACACATAATTACATTCTACCCACTTCAATACCCTGAACCAACACAGAGACAGTAGAAGCAATAACATATGCATTTAATGGCGTATTAAAACACATTATGCCATTCATCCACTTGTTCATCTCAATCACGTCCTGTACCACCTCACCCCAAGCGAACATAAGCCTTGACAGAGATATATATATATATATATATATATATATATATATATATATATATATATATATATATATATATATATATATATATATATATATATATATATATATATATATATATATATATATATATATATATATATATATATATATATATATATATATATATATATATATATATATATATATATATATATATATATATATATATATATATATATGTGTCGTACCTAGTAGCCAGAACTCACTTTTTGGCCTACTATTCAAGGCCCGATTTGCCTAATAAGCCAAGTTTTCCTGAAATAATATATTTTTTCTAATTTTTTTCTTATAAAATGATAAAGCTACCCATTTCATTATGCATGAGGTCAATTTTTTTTTATTGGAGTTAAAATTAACGTAGATATATGACCGAACCTAACCAACCCTACCTAACCTAACCTAACCTATCTTTATAGGTTAGGTTTGGTTAGATAGCCGAAAAAGTTAGGTTAGGTTAGGTTAGGTAGGTTAGGTAGTCGAAAAACAATTAATTCATGAAAATTTGGCTTATTAGGCAAATCGGGCATTGCATAGTAGGCTGAGAAGTGCGTTCTGGCTACTAGGTACGACATATATATATATATATATATATATATATATATATATATATATATATATATATATATATATATATATATATATATATATATATATATATATATATATATATATATATATATATATATATATATATATATATATATATATATATATCTGTGGTCTGTGGTCTGTGATCTGTGGTCTGACAATGTCAGACCACGGAGGAAAAATGAAACAGGAAATTTCCTTAAGTACTTTCGTATATTAAATACATCTTCAGAAGGTCTTAATACACCTTCTGAAGATGTATTTAATATACGAAAGTACTTAAGGAAATTTCCTGTTTCATTTTTCCTCCGTGGTCTGACATTGTCACATTCTTAATCACGTGTTTATTTTCGTGATATACACATATATATATATATATATATATATATATATATATATATATATATATATATATATATATATATATATATATATATATATATTATTTATTTATTAAAGCTTTTGTTATATTTTATTGTACAGTAAAATATTGAAAATACATTAACTAATACACATACACATATTTTTTGTCATTCCTTACTATATAAAGCAGTATTACCATTGTTTCCACTGACACTACAGATGCAGTAGCCACTGAAACACAGACTAGTATGACAAGGTAACACCACATCACACTGTTACTTCTTCCTCTACACCAGGAGCCTTTCTATACTGTACTCTGTGCCGTGTTGCTGATGAAATAATTCACTGGCATTTTTAATTAATGTGCATAATATGCTATGCTTCTGTACAAGATATATTCCAATTGTGAGCCTGTCACTGTACAAGTCACCTTTCAGTGGTGATCCTGTCAGTGTACAAGTCACTGTTCAGTGGTGATCCTGTCACTGTACAAGTCACCGTTCAGTGGTGATCCTGTCAGTGTACAAGTCACCGTTCAGTGGTGATCCTGTCACTGTACAAGTCACCGTTCAGTGGTGATCCTGTCAGTGTACAAGTCACCGTTCAGTGGTGATCCTGTCAGTGTACAAGTCACCGTTCAGTGGTGATCCTGTCACTGTACAAGTCACCGTTCAGTGGTGATCCTGTTAGTGTACAAGTCACCGTTCAGTGGTGATCCTGTCACTGTACAAGTCACCGTTCAGTGGTGATCCTGTCAGTGTACAAGTCACTGTTCAGTGGTGATCCTGTCACTGTACAAGTCACCGTTCAGTGGTGATCCTGTTACTGTACAGGTCACTGTTCAGTGGTGATCCTGTTACTGTACAAGTCACCGTTCAGTGGTGATCCTGTTACTGTACAGGTCACTGTTCAGTGGTGATCCTGTCACTGTTCAAGTCACCGTTCAGTGGTGATCCTGTAACTGTACAAGTCACCGTTCAGTGGTGATCCTGTAACTGTACAAGTCACCGTTCAGTGGTGATCCTGTAACTGTACAAGTCACCGTTCAGTGGTGATCCTGTAACTGTACAAGTCACCGTTCAGTGGTGATCCTGTAACTGTACAAGTCACCATTCAGTGGTGAGCCTGTTACTGTACAAGTCACCATTCAGTGGTGATCCTGTTACTGTACAAGT